TTTGGTATATATAACCCTATATCTGACTCTTTTAGTTCTAGGACTTACAAACAACCGCTATGTGAACAAAACTATAATACTCTCCTTAGCAACTTGCGAGAGTATAAAAAACTCAACACATAAGGTGGAAAGCACTTTCTTTTGAACCAGCTGTTTTACAAAAACAAACAAGACAAAATAAAGAAATGAACAACCAAGAAAGGTAAATAAATTTGTAAATCTATAAAATTTTATTTTTAGGATTTCAAAGGATGAAAGAACAAGTAAGGAGCAGCTGCAGCGTTATAGCATATTATGTAAACATATGTAAACATCTTTACACATTTACAAATAAAATCGTGTCCAAATTATTTGTACGTAAATATGTATATGTATTTTTACTTATACTCGGAAGGAAGTAGTATTTACAAAGACCGTAAGTTACATAATCATTGTAATAGATAAATATTTAAATTCATAATAGATAAGTAGTTCCTACATTATATTTCTGCAAAATAATTGCAAATTTCTTTAAAAATATTGAAATTAACATAACGCAACCGATTTCACATTGTGAGGTTTGCTTTCAGACATCACAAATGTTTGAGGAACTTGTGAGCATTTGAGCTTTCGAAATCACATGAGCATCGGAAACTCACAAATAACAAAAACCTCACAATAATGAGGGTAGTGATTTTTCTAAGAGCATTACAATAGAGCTCTTATATATAATATAAAGTGCATGGTGTACTGGGATTTTGAATTAAACATTTAAAAAACTATAATGCTTTATTTTTTAAAGCATACATGACAACACCCTGTGTTTTCAGATTGCATTGCGCATGCTCTGTTATCAGCTGTTTAGAATCCTAAAGGCCAATAATGATAGTGATGTGCTGAACACAATGAGCGCGACACGACATGGCAGCACGACAGTGAACTGAAAATGCCGTTGTGAATCCTTCTACAAGAACATTTGTGAGAAGGCAGCAAGTGGCCGGCATGTACACAAGACAACACAGCTGTCCATTTTGCATGTACACAATTTCGCTGTGGCCATACTAATACCCTGCACTTCAATGAAATTTTAATATTTTCTTCAAAGTGATATTTTTAAGCAAAATATAAGTAAATAGGTAAATTTATTTGTTTTATATTATCAATTGTTATTACAAATGATATAATAGAGAATTGTGCTTTTATTTGTAAAATAACGTCAGGTTTGTTAGAGCTTTGAATAATTTTACATTTTACATATTAGTGGCACCACCACTCTTCCTCATCTTTCAACTGTCAACTCTACTGTCGTCCTACTGTCGTTGACAAGTATAAAAATATATTGAAGTTAGCAAGAGCGACAACTGTCGGCCTGCTGTCGGGTTGTCATGCAGCTGTCAAAATAACTGTGTCTTTAAGAACGTATGTATTATAATATTTGACACTTGTCACTTGCAGTCTGTCGCGCTTAATGTGTTCAGCACATGAGTGAGATTACGCCCAAGTTTTACCTTAACTTTTTTCTGTGAACGTGGCTTCATAAAACAAAGGTGACGTAATGAATATAACAATGATAAATTGCAAGCAAAATTGCAATTTACAGGTCATTTGCCAATTCCTTGCGTCACGATGCCGCAATCTTGTTTCTATCAGTCCTTCTAAAACTTTAACCTTACTAAAAACTGTATATTAATTATTTTATTATTTATTAATACTTAATTTTTATCTCCAAATAAAAAAATTATAATATATTTTAATCATTTACTAAATTAAACAATACAATATAATAAAATAAATTACATTATGTTTAAAAACGTTCACTTTTTTATTAAAATATCACACATAAACGGTTTAAAGTCAGGATACTCAGAAATCACTATCCCGTGAACATGTTTCCAAGCAAATTTATGAATACAACCCACAGACGGCCCGATATCTTCATAATAAAGTCTTTTAGATTAACGAAAATTATGATATTATGGGACCGAGGATTGTTTGTAAAGCGATTTCACATATTTTCGGCATCAAACTAATTATAATATAATCAAAACATACATACATGCTCTAATTTTGCTAGGATATCTTACATATTGACCAATATGTATGTATGTATGTATATACGGTGTAAATCCAACCGGAAACTTGTAATTGTTAATAGATATATGGGGGCTGCCCCATTTTATCCAGATTAGGATGCACTGTTATTACAAAAACATATTGACCGATATATGCGGTAAAACTCAACCGGAATTTTATAATGTTATCATAAGAGTGTTCTTTCGAATTTCAATAATATTTTCACATATTGAACGGTTTTTAAATATGAGCTACGCTTAAGTTCTGTATCAATAAAGAGCTGACAAACTTTCGTAGTAAATTTATATTACGCTTTTCCTCCTGTTTTCTCCGGATGGCTGGAACTTTTTAACTTAATGTTATACACATTAAAGAAATTTTAGAGCATTAAAGTATTACGAGTGTCAATATTTTATCATTACTAATAAATTTTAACTTATTACAAATTAATATGCTAGTACTCAATCTTGGTAGGACAATGAATATTTTAAATCTGTCTTTTTGGATCTGCAAAATCAGCCCAAAAGACATTACCGCTCGCTCGAAAGCTCATTCTCCCATGAATTCGCTAACATTGGACCAACTGTATTTTGAAATATAAATACGTACTTGTACACACAAAAATAAGCCGGAATGTTTGTATTAGAGAACTAAAAAAAATGTTTCTACACACGCACAGTTTCACAGACAAAGCACACTTTCTATTTTCCTTAACAAAAGTCAAAACAAACAACTACAATTGTGTACGATTATGCATAAACAGACGAAAAAACAAACTCAACTACAAAATCGCATATATTTGCGAATTGCACATATACTTAAATTTTGTAGATATGTAGTTCAATGAAGTTTTCACAATGAAAGTCTTATATGAAGAAATCGAAAGTCACAAAATATTTTGTAATTTTATACATTTTATATGCTGGTGCATAAATATGCTTTTTTATAACAAGACGTTGCAAAGAAAATATAAACTCACATATTTTGAAGCACTAACACTGTGTAAGAATATTCAAAATTTCCATTTCATTTTATATTTCATCAGTTTATTATGTTTATATTACACAGCACGTCATCTAGCGCAAATCTCAGTATATACTGTAGTGAAAATACCATATATACCATAAATAGCAATGTGTTCATAAAAGCCCATATGTATTTGTAGGGTGTTATTTCTTCACCGTAATTCTTGTGCCTTTCTGCACGGTATCACACCGTTGTGCATGCATATTCGTAAGTACATGCAAATATATCCTAAACGTGTGCGTAATCATACCGTAACTATGTAAATACTGTGTATGTATAAAATCTATATATCACATATTGTTAAAAACAAAATGAGTAGTTCGTATACTACGATTCTGAATTGAATTTAAAAGAACTATAATATTTAAATTTGTGAAACATACATGGCAACACCCTGTGTTTTCAGATTGCATAGCGCATCCTCCGTTATCAGCTGTTTGATTAGATACTAAAGCCGAAGAATAAATTTGTTTCTTAACTGTTAACTATCATTATCTAGATTTCTGCTAGAAAATTCTCTTCATTCATTTTCAAATGTTTATATGATACGAGCTTTAACAAAACATTTTGACATTTGTTTGCTTAATTCTTCTATTTTCGTTTCTTTACTTATTCGTTATATAGGTTATAGTGAGACTAATTTGCATTCTTGTTCTTCCTTTACCGAAAGAAAAAAAGAGAATAAGTTCAATATTTTGGATATGTGAGAAAAACATGAACCAAAACATCTAAAATCATTATACTAGAAATATATATGAGGTCAAGGATCGTGGATCGTGGCAAGAGGTTGATAAAGTGTTAAATTTACATACAAATTGTAAACATAACAAATAAAGTTTAAAAATACTAAAATGCACACTTTTTAAACACTTCAAACAAAGAGTTAAATATATTTCTTAACAAAGTAACAGTAATTTTGACCGAAGCGTAATTGTATTATTGTGAGAAATGTGGAATACGAAATATATGACTTAAAGCACGCTTTTCTCAATATAATACAAGTGTTCTTCGGTCAATATAAGTGTCCCTTTATTAAGAATTATTTTGAGCCTTTTACTTTGAAGTGCTTTAAACCACTTATTTTACTTTTTTAAACCATATTTATTTTTCGCCCATATTTACTTTTCGATAATCAAATTAAAAATCGAAAAATTAATATGGGTTAAAAAACTAAAATAAAAATTAAAAAAAGAAATAGTAATAAATTTATTTTTTTAGCCACGCGAGGTGTTTTCATTTTCTTTTAGGGCCGTTTTCTCAATGTCTGGTTAACATCCACCTGTCAATTCTGGTTAAAAAAGCTAACCAGAACTTAAATGACAGAAGGCTGCTAAGTAGACAAATGGCCCTAAAGATGTGTTTAAGTAAATTTGTTATTCAAATGGTTCACTTTTTTAACTGTTTTAGGGTTGATACATTTGTCAGTGGTATTCCGTTTCAGTACTACTGAAAAACTGAAAAAAGTTACTAATAGTACGTACATACATACATACGTTCATAGAAACATACAGACATTACTGAAGCAAATACAAGAATTATTAAATCAGTCAAATGCAATGGAAAATTTAAACGTTTTAAAACGATTTCTACAATTTTTGGATAGAAGAATACCTTACGGACACTGTTTGTCCAAAGTTTTATCACGGTAAATGCATTGGTTTTTGATTTGTTTGCTCGAATTTAAAGAATCCAATGGAATTTAAAATAGTGTTATATGGGAAGTAAATTTTGTTTTTGTCCGATTTTGCCTATTTTCATACTTTATGGTGGAAATGACCAAATTCGGTCGTGTTGTTCCTGAGGTATAGGATTTCACCAAAGGTAGGCGGCGCCGCGGCATTGGTCAATTTTTATATCTGCTTCCATTAAGCTTTTTCTCACCATCTTTGTAGTAAAATATAAGACTTGTAACAATTAATTGAGCTAGTTATTGCGCTTTTAGTAGTTTTAAAAAAATTCTTATATGGGGATTGAAGGTGGTTACTACCACATCTTCACAGCCCAAAAAACTTCTTTGCAGCAAGTTTGGTTGAGTTATCGTCAGCGATTTGAAAGATATGACTATTAAACCATTTTAAGAGAGGGGCTAAGTCTTCTTCTTTACTGGCATAGACACCGCTTACGCGAATATAGCCGAGTTAACAACAACGCGCCAGTCGTTTCTTCTTTTCGCAAGGTGGCACCAATTGGATATTCCAAGCGCAGCCAAGTCCTTCTCCACTTGGTCCTTCTAACGGAGTGGAGGTCTTCCTTTTCCTCTGCTTCCCTCGGTGGGTACTGCGTCGAATACTTTTAGAGCTAAAGTGCTTTCGTTCATTCGGACAACATGACCTAGCCAGCTTAGCCACTGTCTTTTAATTCGCTGAACTATGTCAATGTCGTCGTCTACTCAGTCCGAAGTAGCACCTGTTGGCAAGAGTTATCATGCGTTGGATTTCCAGACTGACATTGTTGGTGGTGTTTACATTGGTTCCAAGATGAACGAAATTATCTACGCTGTAAAGTTATGACTGTCAACAGTGACATGAGAGCCAAATTGCGGGTGCGACGACTGTCTGTTTGATGACAGAAGATATTTGGTCTTGCCCTGGTTCACTGCCAGACCCATTTGCTTTGTTTCCTTGTCCAGTCTGGAGAAAGCAGAACTAACGGTGCTGATCAATTAAGTTTTGCAGCTCGAATTATTTGCTCCAGCAGCAGGTTGAAGAAGTCGCACGATAGGGGGTCGTCTTGTCTGAAACCTCGTTTGGTATCGAACGGCTCGGAGAGGTCCTCCCGATCCTGATAAAGCTTTTGGTGTTGCTCAACGTCAGTTGAGGAGGCTTATCTCACGGTAGTTGGCGCAGATTGTGGGGTCTCCTTTTTTGAGGATTGGGCAGAGCACGCTTAATTTCCAATCGTTGGGCATGTTTTCGTTCGACCATATTTTACAAAGAAGCTGATGCATACTTGAATAGCTCGGCCGGCGATCCATCGGCCCCCGCCGCTTTGTTGTTCTTCAGGCGGGTAATTGCTATTCGAACTTCTTCATGGTCGGGTAATGGAACTTCTGCTCCATCGTCATTGATTGGGGAATCCCGTTCGCCTTCTCCTGGCGCAGTACGTTCACTTCCATTCTGCAGGCTAGAGAAATGTTCCCTCCATAATTTAAGTATGCTCGGGACATCGGTGACTAGATCACCTTTGGGAGTTCTACAAGAGTATGCTCCGATCTTGAAACCATGTGTAAGCCGCCGTATGTTTTCGTATAATTTTATTAGCATTACCTCTGCCGGCCAACTTATAAAGCTCTTCATACTCACGCATTTCGGCCTCTTTCTTTTTATGTCTGCAAATCCGTCTCGCTTCCCTCTTCAACTTTCGCTATCTATCTCATCCCGCACGTATTGTGGTCGATTGTAACGTGGCGAGGTAGACAGTCTGTTCTTTCTCTGCTGCAACACGGCACTCCTCGTCGTACCAGCTGTTCTTTTGCATTTTTGGAAAACCAATGGTTTCGGTAGCAGCTGTACTTAAGGAGCTTGAAATGCCGTCCCACAGTTCCCTTATACCGAGTTGTTGACGAGTGCTCTCAGAGAGCAGGATGAGTAGAAAATCGTTCGGCTGTCTGCTGTGACTGTAGCTTCTCGACGTCGAACTTTTCTTGTGTTTATTGACATGGCCTTTTTGCTGCACAGAGGCGGGTGCGAATCTTGACTGCAACCATATAGTGATCCGAGTCGATGTTAGGACCTCGGAGAGTACGCACGTCTAGAACACTGAAGACGTGKCTTCCGTCTATCATAACATGATCGATCTGGTTGATGGTTTTTTGATCCGGGGACATCCAGGTAGCTTGATGTATTTTCTTGTACCGGAATCTAGTATCATAGATAACCATTTTTCGGGCCCCGGCGAAGTCGATCAGCCTCAACGCATTTGGGGATGTTTCGTCGTGGAGCCTTAATTTAACGACCGTAGTGCCAAAGATACCTTCTTTGCCCACCCAGGCGTTAAAGTCGCCAAGCACGATTTTGCCATCGTGGCAGGGGTAGCTCTCATAGGTGCGCTCATAGAAGGCATGTTTGGTCACATCGTCCTTCTCTTCCGACGTGGCGTGGGCGCAAATCAGCGATATGTTGAATAACCTCGCTTTAATGCGGAATGTGGCTAGACGTTCATCCACTGGAGTGAATGATAGTACTCGGCGACGGAGTCTCTCTCCCACCACGAATCGCACACCAAACTTGCGCTGCTTTATATGGCCACTGTAATAAATGCCACAAGGACCTACTCGTCTCTGTCCTTCGCATTTCTTGGACGGCGGTGATGTCAGCCTTTTTACGAGGACATCAACCAGCTGGGCAGCGGCATCTTTCCAATTAAGGGACCGGCCATTCCAGGTGCATGCCCTCAATTCGTAGTCCTTATTTCCTTTGCCATGTTCGTCATCAAAAGGGGGGTTTCTCTTCCAAGGCTGTTGATAATATTTCATGGCTAGTGTTTTTTACGTGGCGGATACCAAATCCAGAGGATGTTTCGCCTTCTCACTTTAGCTAGCCTTCAAACGGATGTTCTTAGGCTACCCAGAGGATACTTGGTCAACGACCGGAAGTCGTGAGCTGCTTGAGCCATGTGTAAAATAATCGTTTCTGGCCACTCCCAAGTGAATGACGATCAGAGAACTTTCCTCACTGGCGTGAACTTCTACATATGAATCCATCCTCATAGGGGAGTGGCTAAGCCGTTTTTTTGTTTAATATTTCACCCAACTGGTCTCCCTTGCTACCGTGATCCCCTGCTTCAAATTATAGTACGATAATTTAGTGCTTAGTTATGTCACTTTATAAATTTTCGTTTAATGGCGTTTTGTGAGCATGAAAGTGATCCGTTACGCCCATTTGCATTGCCAAATCTCTTTTCAGCCACCAAGTCATTTAGTACCAGATTCGGAAAGTACGGTATATTCGGTACCAACTCGACACAGATTTGCTATAGTTTGCTGGATCGTAAGCTTTCGAGCTGCCCACTTTGCACAGAGCTTTCCAGTACGCAAACATTCATGAACTATATGTGATAAAACATTCCTTTGACATCTTTAGAATGTAAGCTAATCGTTTAACTTCATTTTATGATAATTTCATTACATTGTGTGGACTGTTTTGTGTCCACCCATATCCACCTACTGTGGAACTCCACTGGACACTTACATACTTACATACTGGTATTCACTGCTTTGCCTGATTTAGTGCCCGGACGTACCAACCATACCAACATGTTAGTCTGCCAGGTATAAGGCAATGAAGCTTTTCCATAAATTCAAAAAACAAATCGCGGTGTTTTTTTTTACTTTATTTAGCTACAGTATTTTGGCATTTTATATTTCTGAAATATGTTTTTAAACTAATTAAATATCAACAACATTAAAACATTTTATAGAAAATTTTATTGTGAATATGTAATACTGAAAGTAAAGGTTTACACACTGTGCATATTGGTTTTGAAATGTTTTCATAATTTTTCTATAAGTTATTAAAGCTGTCAGTTTTCAATATCCTAGTTTTTATATTTACATCATAATACTTCACAAAATAAAGTAACTCGTATTTACATTACTAATTCTTATATATTAAATAGTTACAATAAATTTCTAGTATTCAAATTCATCCGCCGATTGTAATTAATATTTAAGTTTATCTTTTGTAATTTGGTATTCCTGGTGGATTCTAATATACATTATCCTAAAGCATTTTATTTCCGTGTAACTATTTTCTTCTACAATGTAATGTATTACTGGAATACTAAACGCTATTCCAGTATAACTTCAGTAAATAATTAAAATCTTACAAATTCCTACTGATTTCTAATTAAAATATATTTTCATAAATACAATAAATTTGGCTGACTTGACAATAACTTTATTATGCAAACATTTAATTAGTATTTATGCATAAACTTATGTAAATACTTTAAACTAAGGTCATTGTAATGATTTTTAATTGGCATCTCAATGGTTATTGGTTCTGATGCAGAGCCAGTTTTGCCAATTTCGTCGTTTGGCACTAACAGCTTTATAATATCTAGTAATCATATAGTTTCTTGTATTTTTTGATATTTTTTTACTTTCGTTTGCGTAATATATATATTATTTGTATATACGTATGTATGTATAATTCCAAAAAAGAGGTAATCAAAAAGCGTAGTAAATTATTCGGCATCCTTACTAAAAATTTCGCTAATTCTAATATATTATTTAATAATATAATTATTTATTTTGTACTACATAATTAAAATCTAAAAGTAACTACATTGCTTTTTGTTAATAATCAAAAATTTACATACAAATGTATGAATGCTTGTATACAAATATTTCATTGAGCTTCAATTAAAGTACATAACCTAACTTGCCAGAAAGCTACTAGTTCAGTGATGACATTATAGAACTACAAGTGAAATATTCTATTGCCTTTTAGATTTATGTGAAGAAGTACATAAAGTTTAATTTTTGTATAGATTACAGAAATTAAAATTTATTTTTTTGTTTGAGAATTTGCGTTGGGTCTTTAAATTTGATTATATTGGCTTATGCTGGATATCTTAAAATGAATGGAAAAAATTGAATTAATATAGAAGAAATATTTTCGACTGACTATTTGTGTTTGAGGTCTATACCCAAAGTACAGTATACAGCTCGTTTCTCCTTTAACAACAGGACATTCGTAAAATAATTACAAAGTGTAAAGCTTTTACATTAAGGGAAATAATCTTTTAAAAATCCCTTTTCGGTAGGCAAGATTTTGTAGCAAATAAACTATGTTGGTGACCGTTGATAAATATGTACGTTATAGATTTTTGTACCAAACCTTGAAGAAATATTCTTACGACAAATTCATATAAGCTGAAAAATGCTGGACCTCAGAATAAAAAAAAGTTATAATTTTTCATCTAGGTAACTATAAGTTTTCTAATTCTATAGCAAGGTTTTATGCTCTAAATTTCATAGAATTGCAGGTCTTCGGTTATTTTCCGTAAATATTTAGAGATAGGTTACCTGTGAAAGTTTTTATATTTCCTTCATTTGCGCTTTGTAATGATTTAATACTGGAGAAAAGCATAAGAATAAGACTAGTTAACTACAGTATAATAATAATTAAAATTTCTCTGTTATTTTAGACTCTACTTGTGCAACGATTAGAATTGTATGAACCTTCTCCAACGAACATTCTAATAATCCTACATATCGTCCAGTTTATATAAATAATATTCCTATTCCACATCATAACAGTGCTAAGTACCTAGGTATCACCTTAGATGCTAAGCTACGTTGGAAAGAGCATGTCAAAAAACGGTGCGACCTTGATATGAAATTTGCTAAACTTTACCACCTAGTTGGCAGGAAATCCACTCTATCAATTCAAAACAGTTATTATATTATCAAGTTCTAAAGCCAACGTTGAGGTTGCTTAAGTCAAATCTGTATTGCCAGCATTCAGCGCTTTCAACGTAAGATACTAAGGACTTTACTTAATGCTCTTTAATACGTTAGATCTGCTGACCTACACCGTGATCTAGGCGTGAATTCAGTGGTAAATGAAATCTCTAAAATTGCAAAGCCTTACAAACTGAAGCTTACGCAGCTCGTTAATGAGGAAGCCTCCAGACTCATCGAAATTGAAATCCGGTTGAAACATAAGAAGCATTCTGACTTAGTAGAACAGCAGTAGCAGCAAACGTATTTCTTAACATTTAGATTTTAAGTATTTTTTATAGTAGACAAGAATTTTTGTTAGTATTTTATTTTTATATACTAGGTACAATTATTAAATAATTTAAATAAACATCCTAATTTTTTATAATTAGTTTTTAAAATTCTGCCAAAAATAAATATAAAAAAATAGTTAAAATATATATATACAGATATAGAAAAGAGACAAACAATAATTTTGACTGTGGTCGAAAGTGCAATTACGAGTGTAACATATTTATGAAGTTCACAAGTCGTTCTATATCTTTGGATTACTATTCAAAAGTACTGTTAAAAAATGTAACCTTTGAATGTGATGTACTATTAATTAGTTAATACTAAATTATTGAAATATTATTTCAATATACTTCGCTTAAAAGCGCGCTTTTACAAAAAATTTTTATGAGAAAAGAACAATGTAAATAACCCGACTTGTGACCTCCTGATTAATTATATTGTATTGTACTTATGTTAACTTTTAGTTTCATGGTTTTTTTCTAAACTGTTAATTTATTAAATAATAGTACTATGTATATAAGCATATCTGTCTGTACGTAAATTAATTGTATAAAAAAATGGGAATGTCGGATAAGGCATAATATACTTTTTTGACTATTTCACTTTTTACTCAAATCATTCGCAAATACACAATATACATTTAACTTTTGCCACTTAGATTTTAGGATCTCCGTTCTGAATTTCCTCTTTAAGTTAGCTGATCGTTAATTTTACTATAATAAATCTTTTTTGTAGTAAGTAGAAGTATCAAAATCCGGCAACTGCTCAAGAATTTGTTTCCCTTATTTTGCGAATTTTAAGCTTTGAATACGTTGAATATCTAAAAGACATGTGTACTTTACTTTTAACTTATTTACGAATGTTTCTAACTGAATAATTTACTAAAATTGTTGCTGCTCTTAAACACTATCTGAAATTTTTACTTTCGCCCTTTTTTATAGTGTAATATTTTTATTATTTAAATTTATTTAAGCATTATTATCGTTAAAATAATATTTATAATTGTAACAATTATACTTAAATGTTGCATTAATATAAATTTCGGATTAATTAAAATTATCAACATAATCAACATGAAAAATTGACAAAATTCATGGAAATTTGGTAATTTCACCACAACTTTAAAAATGAATGCAATTCTGCAGAAAACAACTACAATTAATATTATTATAATTAATAAACTACAACAAATGTCACTGTTTTTCGTTTCCTCACATTCTTTTTACGATGTCTGCTTAAAATTTAAGCAATGCTGCCAAATATTTTCACTAACTCTTCCCAAAACTTAGGGTTGTTATTTGCTTAATATATACTATATATTTGTTATAATCTATCAGCATTTCGTAATAAGAGTGTTAATGTTATTAAAATTTAATTCCAAAATATTCTTAAATTGTTAAAAGTATACTTGGTATCATACTTAATTACGCACAAAAGTTTTCAACATAAATTAAAATAGCTAGAATTATTTTCAAACTTTGAGCTTTGGTAAAGTCCCATATTCACCTTTTTAAGGGTACTTTTTGGAATAAAATCTTGGAATAAAATTGATTAAATAATCAAACAATTTAAACATCATATAATAATGTTTTATATACTAAATTTATGTGTCATTAAGAGATATAACGTCTTGTGATTGTGACGACAGATATAGAATACTCGTATTATAAAAATAATTGAAGACCAAAGCATACACTATGTCTAAAAAATGCTTGACTGCATTTATTTCATTTTTTATGTGTTGGCTGAAAAATATCAATGCATTATTTTACAGTGAGGTTTACGCTTTTATGACACATGTATCTTTGTGTTATGGACACTTTACTTTTAATACGAGAAATATAAAATTTGATAAATTAGTGGCATTTACGGGTTTTCAAGTTTAAAAAGAGATTAATTTTTAAAGAAATTTATGTTCCTGAGATAATCTTAAACTTATATGTGGGGATTGCAATATTATTATCTAGGGTTAAAATTGTTCAGATATTCACTTGCTTTGAGTCAATATTTTCAGACTTTTGTGCATAACAATAGGTTTACAAGTCACTGACCCTCTTACACAAGTTGAAAGAAGTTGCAGATGATATTTTGAAACAGAAAGGGGTAACTATAATCATTTCATTGTGTGATAAAATACATAAAATTGAAAATGTGGTTGCTGTTAAAAGATTTAGTGTTGGTTTTCAGTAAAAAATAATAATCAAAGAGAATTGCAATACTCAGATAAAAATTATACAAAATAGATTCATAGCCAAATAGCCAACATTTTCCAATCTATATTTTGGCAACATTTATCGACTTTATGTTGCTGCCTTTCTTTTTTGTAATTTTCCATATTTTCATTTAAACTTTTCGGATTTTATAAACGTACGTGTGTATAATGTAACCCTAGATAATATATTGGCAAATTTCAAAGTTTATTTTTATCACGATCGATACTAATTGCTTCAAAAAAATCTTTTCCGATGCCGTATCTTAAATTGAATTGGTCTAAACTTGAAGCTCTAGGTCTGGATAAAGAGAAGGATTCAACTTCGGGATCTGTTTCACTAATATCTGCTTCAGTATCACTAAATTTTCGACGTCTTCTTAAAATTGAATTACTACACTTAAAGTCAGTGGAGTTCGCACGTTTTCTTTCTTGTTTATCCATCTCCGCAGCAAGCATTTTTACCTCCCAATCGTTGTGATCTACATGTGCGAATACATTGTCTTTCACATTTTTTTGCTCTATGTCTTCATACTTAACATTCAATTTGCTAGAAACAGAACTCGAGCTCGAACTACCACCAATGTCTAGAACTACACTATCTTGCATGTTTAAGTTTCCGGTGAGATCTGACACAGAAACAACGTAATTTCTCTTTTGTTGCTTGCCCATTGTAATATTCTCTTCCGATTTATTTTTATACAAACTTCGTGAATAAATGTGTCCTGAAGAGTTTTTGCAAACATTTTTAAATATCGACGAAGAACTGTGTCGTTGAACTTGTGGTGGAGATGACATAAAAACCGTATCCAATGAGTCTCCGCGCTAAAATTAAAATACTTTTACTTTTATTTTTTGAATCTTTGATAAAGTTATCAAGTGATTGAAATACCATAAAAAGAAGCTCTGCTGATGAACTGGAGCTGGCATGGTCCTCTGTGTATGTAGGCTTATCACGTGTAAGTTCAGTTTTTCTTCGTGGCGAGGATGTTTTTAATTCGATATTTTTAATTTTTGACTGAAGATTTGCAATAATTTCATCGCGTTTTCTTACTTCTCGGGCCATTACCGAAAATTGTAATTCGAATTTTAAATGCATTTCTGTAATCTGATCCTTAATTACATCATTAATTTCACTCCAAACACGATTGAAATTCTCCTCCACGTTGAGGATATCTAAAACATAAAAAAAGAGTTAAAGTTTGAAATTAGCCCGTTTGAATCCTTTCAAACCCCAGCCAAGGTGAAATAAACAAAAAATAACTACAAATTTTTAGCGTTACTTTGTATAGTTTTGATGGATTTACATTATTGTATGCTATATATTGGTTGAAGAGAAAATGTTCGCACTAAAGAAATTAATTTTTTGAAGAACTTCGACATAATTTTAACTGGTTGTATTTTTACCATCAATTTGGACCATCAATTTTTGCAACATTTTTCATGGCCATCAAGTTAAAGAAGTTAAAAGGCGTTGTGTGCATAATCTAACAGTAAAAGAAACCATTTTTATACTTCGTCAAAATATTTGAAACGACATTAGACCATATGCTAACGGGCAGCCATAATAATGTCATTAGAACTGACAATATGTACACCTTCTGATGAGCATATAAAAATTGACGAAGTAATTATTGTAGTGTGTGGAGAAAAATTGCAGCCTGGAGACATCGTGCTTCATCATTGGAACGAATAAAACGTGTGTCTTAAGGTCTTATAATGCATTACAATACTCATTAATCTTCTAGCAGGAAGAAGGAAAACATTTTAATATCAAAATGGTTAATCAAAGAACAGGTAACGATACTAAATAATAATTATAAAGTAACAAAAAAGTTAGTAATATTAATTTTATTTTAAACAGGTAAGTTGAAGTCAATCACAATTTAAAGTGTGAGTGGATTTTTCAGCACTGCTGTATTTAAAATGGAGACTGATCGGTTGATGTACATCCATCTAAACCAATTGAAGCTTCAATTTTAATAAATTTAATTTAATAAATTAGCTTAAATTTTTAATAAATTACTAGACAAAACACGACTGCATACGACATGACATCATTGCTAGAGTTTTGAAACAAAAATTTAAATCGTTAATACATAGACATATGCTATTTAAGTTAATTGACAAAATAAGGCCAAATGAAATTAATTCCAGAATTTCAGCTAAGATACCCGACAAAAGAGTTGACCCATGGAATGGAGTAGTCAACTATCCATAGAGTTTTTACATTTACTGGAATTGCCGGGCATATCATCTCACAATTTAAAATTCATGATGAATAACATTAATCAATCTCGACTACGCAAATTTGTAAAATCCCCTATGAGTAAGAACTTCTCCGGGTCAACTAGTTTTCCAATATTAATGTAATGCATAATATTACATACATATATTACGAGATGGAAAAAAAATAAACGGGGGCGAAAGAAATTCACGTGCTACAAAAATAAAACAAAAAAAAACTAAGCATTATAATTATACTAGACCGTAAGCCGATTGAATGTAACAACTATAAATCTAACAAAAATAAATTTAAATAAATAAGAAAGAGCTAAGTTGCTGTAAATCTACAATTCGACGTGTATTATACATATATAAAGGATGATCTATTTCGAGAGGAATTTTTATTATCATTCGAAAGAATACGCTTTTGCTTTTATTTTTTGCAGATTATGTTTTTCAAATGTTGACCATCCATTGATTGATGCGATACTTATTTAAACCAAATATCGCTGAGGTCACGAGCTTTCATTTCAGACGGTCGCCATACCAAACCCTGGTTTTTTCTGCATGAAATGGCAGCTCTTGAGTCTCTCAAAATTTGGCCTGATAATTTCGGAAAATCGAGAGGTCTTGCACAAGCAGTATTTTTTGTACGCTTTCAATTTAAGATCTCGACGTAAAATACGCCATCTCGTCTTTCCATACGTCAGTCCTAGTTGCTGCGAACGGCACCGAACCGGCTCTACTCCGTCTCCGGGTACACTTTCAGCTACGGCTGCTATATTTTCTTCACTGCGTACTGGACGTAGTGTATTCGATCGAATATTATCTAATAATGAATGATAGGTCTCAAGGTGGGTGATTCTTTTGGTGATTAGTACGATCAGTAGGCCGATTATGTTGACAAAAAATCAAGCGAAACGCGCGACAGTCTTTACAGGATGTGAATTTTTATAATAAAGTTGAACGGTTTGCAAACGTTATTTAAGCATAAATCTTCTTTTGATGATGCCATACAATACTTAGCAAAACTAACATGACAGCTTGACACGACTCGCGTGATCTGTCAAAAAGCGGCTATTGAAAAAGATACCCCTACATGGATCATGTGATTATCTTACAAGTTAGGGCTCAATTTTGAATATTTTTATGGATGTGACATCTTTAAAGCACTATGGGTCGAAAGATGTGTTCCGATATATTCATTATTGACTTATTTACATTTTATACAAATTGTATATATTTTCAGTAAAAGAATTAGATAGAATTTAAAACTGTATTAATTGCAAGTTTGCGTGGCAGTAGTCTGCAATTATATCTATTTTGAAAATGTTACATAAGGATGGCAACTTTGTCGACTTTAGATTACCGTCCCAGGATTTAAATTGAACAAGTAAGGAAGGGCTAAGTTCGGGTGTCACCGAACATTTTATACTCTCGCATGATAAAGTGATAATCGAGATTTCAGGCGTGGTTGTGAACCGATTTCACCCATATTTGGTGCATGTCATCAGGGTGTTAAGAAAATATTATATACCGAATTTCATTGAAATCGGTTGAGTACTTCCTGAGATATGGTTTTTGGTCCATAAGTGGGCAATGCCACGCCCATTTTCAATTTTTAAAAAAAGCCTGGATGCAGCTTCCTTCTGACATTTCTTCCGTAAAATTTAGTGTTTCTGACGTTTTTTGTTAGTCGGTTAAAGCACTTTTAGTGATTTTCAACGTAACCTTTGTATGGGAGGTGGGCGTGGTTATTATCCGATTTCTTCCATTTTTGAACTGTATATGGAAATGCCTAAAAGAAACAACTCTATACAGTTTGGTTGACAAAGCTATAGTAGTTTTCAAGATATGTACAAAAAGGTTACAAAGGGGCGGGGCCACGCCCACTTTTCCAAAAAAAATTACGTCCAAATATGCCCCTCCCTAATGTGATCCTTTGTGCCAAATTTCATTTGAATATCTTTATTTATGGCTTAGTTATGACACTTTATAGGTTTCCGGTTTCCGCCATTTTGTGGGCGTGGCAGTGGGCCGATTTTGCCCATCTTCGGACTTCACCTTCTTATGGAGCCAAGAAATACGTGTACCAAGTTTCATCATATCTCAATTTTTACTCAAGTTACAGCTTGCACGGACGGACGGACGGACAGACAGACATCCGGATTTCAACTCTACTCGTCACCCTGATTACTTTGGTATATATAACCCTATATCTGACTCTTTTAGTTTTAGGACTTACAAACAACCGTTATGTGAACAAAACTATAATACTCTCTTTAGCAACTTTGTTGGGAAAGTATAGAAATACGTCCTTAAAATAGTGGTAATTTTCAGCTTTAAACGGAAATATCTCAAATATTCCCGTGTGTATAACTATATATATTCTTGAATTGGAGACCCTCCTCTATAACTAAAAATGTTCATTCAAGATATCTGTTCGTATGCAGAATTGTTGTAAAATTGTTTAAAATAAAAACAAAATTAGTGTTTGATAATGAATAAAAGTGGACATAGTTCGAATAGCTTTTGTTATTCAGAGAAAACAGGGAGTATAAAACTTATTGGCGAAAAAATAGAGGGCGATGTTTTTATAGGCCTTCTTTTTTCTGAGACTTACGACTATTTTCAAGTTGTTTTCAGTTGCTTCTGCAGATTTAGGCATACTTGTAGGTAAAATTTCATAAAATGAGATAGTTTTGAGCGGGTTAGATATTAAATATAAGACTTTGCATAGAATGAATTTCGATGACTTCGTGGAAGAATTGGATTCCGAAATGAAATGCTCACAAACGTTAAGCCCCACAGAGGTTGCATTGAACATAAATATTTTTAATTTTTTAATAATATTTTTTTTTTAATATAAAGTGTTTAAAAAAATATCTTACAATCTCGTTTGCGCTCCTCCAGTAGAACCATCGTCTGGCGGCCATGCAGGTATAATGTATTAATGTATAAATATATTAGTATTAGTATTTGCTTTAAAAAAATACATTTATGTTTTTCAGATATAATCCCGACCCGTCTCACTACCATTGAAAAGCTGTCTCTTATACACATCTAGATGTGTATAAGAGACAGGATATAATATATTTATATACATATATATTAGTATTTGCTTTATAAAAATACATTTATGTTTTTCAGATTAAATCCAGAAGCTGGATGCCATTTAGACCCGTCTCACTGCTCACTGCCATTGAAAAGTCCCTAACAGACAAAGTAAGTAACGCAGTATTACATTACCAAATTAAAACAGAAGCTAATTTTTATATTTTAATTTTCTAGTTGCCAGAAAAGGCCGAGGTGCATCTACAAAGTAAACCATTCAATTAGCATCACCGGTGACTTGGAGAAAGAGCATTACGTGGAGCTCGCTTCGAAACCGCCATGTCATCGGAAGAGCACGTGCGCTTCGTGGAAGGCAAACTTTTACAAAAGGAAAGCACGTATGCCATGGTAAATATTTCGTTTTTAAATATTATAGTATTGTATTATAATTTACTGTAATTTTTACACATATGGCTAATATTGAAGTCGATGCCCGCAAAAGGCAGTGTGGACGGCGTACTGCGTGGTATGTTTTCTGACGATCTAATGTACCACTACAATTTAGAGGAGCGCAAGGAGAAGGGATCCCTACTAAGGCTAAAGTGAGTAGGGTTAGTTTTTGGTAGGTTTTTTTATTGGTATATATTTGAATGCCTTAACGTATAACGTTTCATTTTAGAGATGGACATTTCCAACGGTCGCGAACCGTACGTTCGCACGCATTTAAAGTTTAAAAAACAAGGAAAACCTAAATATGTCTTAATTTTTTTTTATGCTTCGATAGCATTTTGCTAGGTCATTCTTTGGTGCAAAAGGTATGACCTTTCGATTTTTATTTTTTAATATGTTAGTGACAAACATGCGGTCGCGAACGTAGGAATAATGGAAGTCGATTT